TGCCTACCTGCGTGTGGGAGCGCTCGGCGGCCATGCGCTCGCGGGGGTTTTTATTTCTCGGTTTAAAAACTGCCCTTTGGGTAAATGCAGCATGGCCAGCTCCTGGAAGGGAGACTTCTGCATTTCTCGACTGAAAACAGTTCGTAATTGACTGCTAAAAGTTGGGTGGTGATGATGATGAAGGAAAGCCAAATATAGGCGGAGTAGACTGTTGGTGCTGAGATTTTTCTCTTTCTGGGTAGACGCGCTTTACCCCATACTGTAGAATAATCTTTGAAGAGTATTGCAGTAATGCTTGTTTTTTTTCTTCCCTGGCAGAATGGTGTCTTGAAGTAAAGAGTAAGTTAAACTTTATTTTGTACTAAGCTGCACAAGGTTATTAAGAAAGTTCCAGGCCTTTACTTGCTCATGACATAGTTAAAAACAGCACTTGAGATAGGAAAAAAAAAAAACCCACTAATTTTGTCAGCTTAAAACTAATTTTACATGCCATTAGCTTATAGAGCTAACGCCTTCTATAAACAAAGGAGAAAATCTACTGTTGAGACACAATAACTGTTCAGTCTTGACCCAAGTAATCAAATACCAGAGTTGTTGGCTGTTGATGATGATACCCCTGAATAGGAAGTGCCGTCAGATGCGAGAACTGACGATAACCTTCTTACTTGTCTGAAATACAGCTACTTGCATGTGGAGTTTGAGTTGTCTGGAAGTGTGTATGCTAGAACTAATCAGGCAACTTTTATCTGTGCTTTGCTTTCTGTAAAAAGTGATCCTGTAGTATCCATCATGGATTAATATCCATCTCTTTCATTTATGCTGCAGAGTTTGGTATTTCCAGAGAAATGTGATCCCTTTAGTACAGGGAGCAGGCAGGTCCCTGAAAATCGCACCAATGTGAAGGTAAGTCATGAATTTCACTGGGCCACGTAACCTTTATACGAGGTTTCAGAAGAGTATTGTGTAGGTTCAGTCTTCGTCGCTTGAAACAATCTGGTTCCGCTCCTCTCTTCCTCACAGTTCAAAGCCCTGTGGTATCCGATTCCAGGAATTTATATACTTAGATGCAGCTTGTAGGCCTCTGCTGCCACATACTAATTGCTATTAATATCTATTAATAGTCATGTGGAAGGCAGCTGAGACTACAAGAGCAGGAGATTCTTCTGGGTGAGTGTAGTATTTTGTGTGCTCTTTAGTTCATCTTGGTGGTTTTTGGCCACAATCTCAAAACATTACTTCTCGTTGACCATGTTTCTGTATATTCTTGGCTTTAAAGGTATGATAAGTGAGGTCCTAGGCCAAAAAATATTTTATTAGGCTAAAATATAGTAAGTGTGTAAGAGCGGCTGTCTTCTGCACTACAATTTTGCTGACAGTACTGTAGAATTGAAAAAGAGGATAAGGTATTGTTTCTGTTAAAAATGCATCAGTTTATCTAAAGATATCATATGATGAAATTAACCAAAAATTGCTGGAATTACCGGCAGATTGACTGGTGGTGAGCCAAGGTTTTTCTGATGATATCTCTTATATTAACAAATGACTTAATATTTGGCGTTGCACGGGTAATTTATCCGTGCTATTCTATTGCAGGTGTTCCTACTGAAAACTTGCTTGTCTGAGGAAGAAGAAATCCACTAAAATACTCAAGGGAGCAGGGAAGCAGTCGTCATAAACTCTACCTGTTTTCCTGTCCTAAGACTTTAAGAAATACTAAAAATTACACTGCTGTGCATATATTAAAGTTATCAAAACAATTTATGTTTGGGTCTGTGTCATTTTTACTGGATAAAGGAATGTCTTTTAAAAAGAGTATTGTTATAAGGGAAAAAAACATACTCGATGCTCATAATTTGCTATAACATGATAAAGTACATGTGTACACAGTACAGTATAATTACTGCAGATGATGTGAATAGATTTTAGTTGTATAAGCATTCCATCTGGTGTTTGATAATTTACTTGCCTTAAACAATTTAAACAAGTGATGATAATACTGCTGCTGCAATTACTGTAGGGATTAGGCCTTAAGTAGCTCTACAAGGAGAGCAAACATTCCATATAGGACAAACAACTATTTCTTTAGCTTGTTGGAGGGTTGAAATTTCTTGCTCGTTATTTTGGCCTCAACGTTTTGGCAAGTCTTCTGCAGAGGTAGCAGAATCTGTTCCTGCAGCAATAGCATTCTAGGTAGCATTTTATATCTTCTCTAAATAAGAATTGTCAGATATGGAAAGCTAAAAGTAATTGCCAGATGTGGAGAAAAAGGGAAAAGAGACTCATGCTCTGCAACTTGTCAGCTTGCTTTGGTGTAGTTGGAAGAGTAGAAAACTGCTTTTGTGATAATTGCCTGTTTTAAAACTTGTCTACAATTACAAGGTTAATAAATAGAAGGCATCAAGCTTTTTGGGAGGAAGCGAAACACTTGAAATGGAGGTGCTTGAAGCGAATGGTATCTTCAGGTATCTTCCAATTAGATTCATTATGCCAATATAACTGGCGAGCTCTAAAGCCTCAGTGGTCTCAGGTTGTAGGAGGTGCGGAATACTGCAAAGTCTCGTCAAACCTGAAGGGATTGAGCATGTCCACTGCGACAGCCTAACAATGCAAAAGTTATTGAATGTTTTGCCCACTTGGTGGCATCATGTGAAAGATTTCAGTTTAGTTTTTTGAAAAAAGTAAAGATGATTAATAAACTACTTCTCTGTGAGCACATGTTCATGCCATGCTAACAAGTCTATATAATGTTATCTGGGCAGCCCCAAGTGCAAGATATCTCAGTATCAATTTTAAAAGTAGTGAAAGTTTCATCTAATCTGAAATACATTTGTTTAGCTGTAAAAGTGCAGTAATTCAAATCTACACGTGCAAGTACATCAAATATTGTTTTACCTTCCTAAACTTGATTCCATGCAAATAAAAGTTCAGGACAAAAGAGCTCCGATCAAAATGGGAGGAGGAGGACCATGAATTTTCTCAAAGTTTGTAAGTTTTTAAGGAATCATATGCATGTGATTTTCTTGTCTCTCTCCTCACCCTTCATTGGAGTGGTTTTGCCTGGAGTGTGTGGGGACAGGTAGAAACCATTCAGAAGAGCTAACAAAACGGTTTCCAGACAAAAATGATAGTTTGTGATTAGCAATATTTTTATTGTAGTAAATTTTGGGTGAACAGTTCTTGGTTGTCATAAAGAGCTGGATCTGTTTTCTTGACTGTTTGTCTCCTGAGTGATTACTCAAAAGGAAGAACATACTGTAGTTTGCTGCTCTCCACCTTGCATCACAGGCTGGCTTCTTGGTCCCTCTCTAGCACAGGTGAACCATGTTCTTTGATGGTTTTTAAAAATAGGTGTGAGCTCTGTTAGCACCATTTCTTAGCAAATGGACAAGGCACTCAAAAGGAGGATAGTATCAGTGTACTTTATCGTACATATTCTTCTGCCCGTGGAGCTGGATAAACAGGCAAACTAGAACAAACTAGAACATGGTACTTCGTACGCTTTGGGTGTCCAACCCGCCTGATTTGCCAAAGTTACAGACGTGTGTATTTGCCAGCCTAGGCTATAGATGGTGGTGGTCAAAGGCTAAGCACTACAGTTACCAGAACACAACGTTTTTACTGGAGGGCAGGAGTGAGGTTTAATTCAGTCTTAGCTGAATTGTGTTGCTCCCTGTCCATCACTCCCTCCTCAACCAGCCATTAATTTTAACTGGTTTAGCGAGAAGTTACGAATGACCCTAAGATGATTTTGTGCAACTCAGTTGCACTGTGTTAAATAGCTGGTCAAATACCGAACTCCAAAGAAATTACCTTTCTGTAGTCATAAATTAAGAATGTGTGCAAGGCTTGAGCGTGCTAAATGTTTGAGATCAGTGGAACTGCTTGTACCTAGATCTTTGCTTGGGGCATAAATGCAATGACATAATTTCAGAGGTTCTGTCATTGAAAAGTCCAGAGTTATGCATTTTAATCATGGAAGAGCAGGTTAAACGTTTTTCAGAGAAAACGTCTAAAAGCAGTAGAGTGCCTAATACTGTGCAGGTAATTTAACCTGTATCCTTCCTAAGAGCACTACTGTGATAGATACAGGGCTTTTTATAAACGTTCAGCCTGGGCAATGGGGTAGGCAGAACTTGTTTGCAATTAATTTGTTTCTTCTTCATACTATTCAAATATGTATTCAGATAAGAATGGGTTGCTCCAAGGTTGTTTATTTTAATTAAAATTTTAACTAGAGTTACATTCTGCTCCAATGTTTTCTGAACCACAACTGTTTTCGTCCTGTTTTAAGAGCTCATGTATTAGAATTTGTTGACAGAAAACATTTTTTTAGCTGATGTGATATGCATAAGAAGGAAGGTGTTCTTCTAGGATTCAAAAAGAGCACACGAGGAATCTGACTTCTTTTAAAATGAGATTCTGTGCGCTATTAATGATAATGGAGCTAAACATGGCCACAAGCTCCCAATAAATAGAAGAAACTTAGCAGATTTTTGCCTGACTGTTTAATGTGCTGTTTAATTTGCTGCAGCTTATTTTTGTAATTGTTGTTTCTTCCTAGTATGTATCAGAATCATCTCATTAAGAGAGGGAAGAGTTGATCTGGGAATACTTATGTAAACAGGAAACAGTTATCTGAATTTATTTAGGTTACAAGTTGGTGGTATCTATTTTAGTTTACTATTCATGAGTTTCACTTTAATATTACTTGTTTATTGTTTTCATCAAAAACAGAATTCCTCAGCAGGGATCCTCTAAAAGGCTGATTTTTGCTGAGATGAATGGAAAAGTTTTATTCCTATTAGAATATGGTGCCTTTTGAACAAAATAGGTGTCCCGAACATAAAATATTACAATGTATCTTAAATGGGAACATACATTGTCTTGCTGTGTGTTTCACAATGTTTGGAGGGGAGAGGAAATAAAATTGTTCTGGTTTTATTACATTTGAACCACATTGGCTTGCCAGTATTGGGAAATAAGCAACAGAAAAATGCCAATTTAAAATACAATTATTTTGGATTTTCTAAAGACTTAAGAGAACAGTTGGCGGGAGCCCCCCAGCGCTTAACAACAGCCAAAGTTAGGATAAACCTAAAATAGATGAAAGGATTAAGGCTGTGAGGGGGAAAAAAAAAACGAAAATTTTAAGAGCGGGGAAGCTAAGAATGGCTGAGTGCCAGTTTAGCAATATGAGAAATGGGAATGTCATGTAGTAATTCCTTTGTGAGAAAAAAAACAATGATTATGTATGGTGCTATTACCCACTGAACATGTGCAGTACCCGCTGACCTGACGGAGAGCGGCGTCTCTGGGGTGGGGAGAAATGATAGATGCGTGGGGGGAAGATGATAGATGTCCTATTCCCATTTGCGCTTTACCGTGTTTACTGAGAGCGGGCCAGCTGCGAAAGTCACTTCTGCGTGAATACTCACGTAATAGTAACTCGACTCAAATCCTCAGGCTCCTGTTTATATAGGGCACTAACCAGGATCAGATAGCCCTGACCTGTGATCTCAGCTCAGGACTTTGTCTATGACTCTGGTAAAAGGCAGGAACTGTGGGCAGGTCAGCACAAGTCATGTCTGAGGTGGAAGGAGTTAGGGGGGAAAAAAAGTCTGAGGAGGTACAGTGTTCAAGATGGGAGAGTGAGTTTAAACAAAACAGCTACTGAATGTGCATTGCGCATACAGTTTGCTTGCATGTATCAGTGAAGGTGCATTTGTTTCTCTCTGTTGCTCTTTCCAACGTTGCCTGAAAAAGATAGCGGACAGGGAACAAAAGCGTGCTGTGGCTGGTGTCACCTGGGGGAGAGAAGCTGGCTGCATTTTGAGTACTCTTGTTTCTTTTTTGTAAGCCACAAGCATCACATTCGATATAAATGCTAGTTATCATTCTCTTGATTAGTTATTGTAAAGTAATCACATGTACATCAGCATTAAAATAATCACTGTTGCAAAAATATAAATTACTATAATTACCGCAGCTATTAACTATAACAAATCTAAAAACATGCTCGGTTTTCTGGCTCGGTGGCTGCTGTTTCAATTAAATCAATTTTAGCTGGCTGCATCCACGTAATGAAAGAGGAGGGAGGATTATTCTGAGTATGTCACCATTGCAGAATAAAGTATGTCCTGGAATGTGAAACTTTAATTCCTTTCTCCTGAAGGTATGTGGAAGAGCAGTTAATTTTTCAACTCCTCTCTCCCTCAGCATTTCACATCAGTGGAGGCGAAAGCGCTGTCAAAGGGATCACTTTTCTAGCCGAGAATGACTAAGATGATAGTGTCATGCAAAGAAAATTTAGGGGGGTTGTTTTCTTCCAGCTGCCACGTTAGCAAATGCTTTGTCCCGTTACAATCTCTCCGATGCTGCAGGCAGGGACGACTTGCTCTGCCTGAAGCCAAGGGAGCTGTCGGCAGAGTAAGGGCCCCAAGCAGCTGTGGCCGGTTTCATGCTCGCCCAGGGCTCGCGCTCGGCAATGCTCCTAGCGCCTGATTGACTTCGCTCTGCCACAGCTTTATCAAATGTCATGGGCTCCTATAAAGAAGGACAAGGTTGACATGTCATTTAAGTTACCACTAGGGCCAACGGGCCCCTTATTTCAACAGTTTGTGTATCCTAGCATCTCAGTTTTCACGCTTAAAATTATTTAGGACAAATACAATGAACTGATCTTTACCTAGCTCAGGACCATAAGAAATGAACAGGTGGAATTTGACTTGCCTTTGATTTGCCCATTGATTTAGGCATACAAG